AGGAGGGACATGGGTCAGAAAATGTATGTGTACAACTATCTCACGCAACCGTATACGAGGGATCGCTTCAGCAAATCATATATTCGAATCGCTGTGAGACAAAACGGCGGCGGATCGCTCGTTTTGCTCGCCTTGGACCTCCGTTCAAAGTCCAAGGCGGCCTCAGATGCATTCGAGGCACCCCACAAGAGCCCCAAGAGCCTTCTCAAGAGGAGCCCGAGAGGCCCACATCATTGACCCCCTTTAGGTTTCAATCTTTCGGCAACCCTCACACTCCAACAGTGGCCTCCCGAACAGCTGGGGTACGGGGGATTCTGAACGTTTAAAGAGTTGGCGCGCCGTGGAGTCATCACAGCAGAAGTCGGGGAGCAACATATGCCGCGACCGTTTTCTGCTCCCCCTGCAGCTGCGCAGCAACGACATGGAGACCGCAGGGCTGGAGAGCAAGGACTGCTGGGTATTACTGACACACGACAGCGACGTATACCGCGCGACCTCCAATGTGCAAGGCCAAATGGCAGCTCCTTGCAGCCCCGTGTTGGCAACGGCGGTAAAGCACCAACAACAGCTCTGGGACGTGGTCAACAAAAAGGAGTTCGAGGAAAAGGTTCTCGACGCGCAGATACAGTGGGCACCACTTCTCGAGTCTACCCGTGGACCAAGGGAGCAAGGAGATGGAGGTCCGCGCCGTATTGTTTTCCATCCAGCGAGCGGCCTTCAAGCCGAGGGGGGGGGTAGTGACGAAGCTCGGTGAAGGCATGAGCAGGGACAAATGATGAGCGGCGAACATGAAACGACTCCTGTGATTTTCCAAATCAGGATACGCATGAACTGGGACTAGATGACTTATTCGGACGATGTGTTGGACATGGTCGGTACCTATATGAGTGGGGTTGCTGCTGACTTTTGTGCCGACTACCATGACATGCTCCTCATGCACATGAAGAATTAACTGGGTGGGAGAAAGTTGCGTGTGCACGGTTGGTGGGGGTGTTATGGCAGGGCCATAGATCCCTGGTCCTTGGAAGAATGCTATTTCAGATTGGTGGTGCGTCTTGCTGCAATGACAGGGTGGTCGTGCCCTGTCTTGTGAGAGTGGAAGTCCCCTGCTGATCTGAGAGGGAGCTGGGTGGTGTTTGAATTGAATTAAGGGCTGTCGCCCGATCCTTTTTCCAGTCGTCGAATGTGTTAAAAAATGGCATGCCCCGTGTGGGCATGCGTGGGCCGTGGGCTCCGCATGCGTTCCACCGCTGCGTGCGTCATCCGTGTGTGCTGGCACTGCGCGGGCCGGGGCCCTGTGACTGGATGCCGCTGGGGGCCCACTCGCAAGGCTTCGGGTGCGTGCGGTGGCGGTATACGTGCGCGGCCCTCGTATATAGTGTGAGCGTCGCGCCGTGTCTGTATGCACGAGGCCCCGAGCATGCGTCTGTACCGTGCGCCGCTGAACTGCTCGACGGGCAGCCCCCCCAGCACCCATTCTACGCTTTCTTCTTTTTCCACGAGGCTGGAGTCGTGCCGCTCCCCTCCTGTATCCCTTACCTTTCCGCGCCTCTGCTTCTTCTTCATCTTCTTCTTCGCTGAAGCCTTGCCTTCCCCCGCATCTGCTAGTGTCACATTTTCCACCAGTGCCAACGTGACAGATGCAAGCGTCTGCTTCCTCTACATAGAGGGGGAAAAGGCGTCTGAGCCATCCTGTAAACGAGAAATCAGCGAACCCTTTGATTTCTGCGATTCCTGGGATTTGTGGGATGCTAATCAACGACGAAGCCGTGTGGTTTCACTGGGATTCCTGGGACTCCTGGGGTTTCAGACCCTGGAGCAAAACCACCCTTGGGATCCCCAGGAGGTTCAAGGCTCAGAACCCCAGGGTTCCAAATGAAATGGCAGGATTCGCGACGCAGGTGGTGCCCTACGATGATTTCATTTGGATTCCTTGGTTCTGGGATGAAAATGTTTGAAACATTGTGATTCCATTGAGATTCCTGGGATTTCGTACGCTAGAGTGAAACCAACTTTGGGATCTCCAGGAAGTCCAGGGCTCAGGAGCCCAGGAATCCCCATGAAATCACCACGTTCGAGACGTCGGCGATGCGCAAAGCCCTACGATTCCACCTGGATTCCTGGGAATTCCTGGGATTGCATCCCCTGGACCAAAGCCAGCCGTGGGACCCCCAGGGGGTCCAGCGCCGAGAATCCCAAGAACCCCAATGAACTCACAAGGGTCGCGATGTCGGTGATGCGCAAACCCTGAGATTTCAATACGATTCGTAGGATTTCTGGGATGCAAGTCAATGAAGCCTTGTGAATCCACCAGGATTACTGGGATTTCATACCCTGGAGCGCAAACAAAACACGAGCCCTGTGATCACAAAAAATCAAAACTGCAAGTCCCAGGAACCCCAGGAATCCTAGTGAAATCCGGGGTTTCGTTGATTAGCATACCAGGATTCCTAGGAATCCCAATGAACGGTTTGGCATTCGCCGACGTATCGAACCCTGTGATGTCAGCGGGGTTCCTGGAATTATGAATCCTGTGCCTCCTGAGGCCCAAAGGTTGGTTTTGCTCCAGGGTGTGAAAACACAGGAATCCCAAGAATCCATATGAAATCGCAATGTCTTGTTGATTGGCATCCCAGAAATCCAAATGTAATCCACATGAAATCGCAGTGTTTGCGCATCACCTACGTCGCGAACCCTAAGAGTTCAAGTGGGTTCCTGGGATTCTGGGCCCTAGACCTCCTTGGGATCCCAAGGCCGGCTTTGCTCCAAAGTGGGAAACCCCAGGAACCCCAGGAATCGCAATGCAATCACAAGGTTTCGTTGATTTGTACCCGGGGACTCGAAGAAGCCCCAATGAAACAATAGGGTTTACGCGTCACCGACGCCTCGAACCTTGCGATGTCATTCGGGTTCCTAGGATTCTGGGTCCTGGACTTCCTGGGGATCCCAAGGTAAATCGTGTTTCAGGATGTGAAATCTCACGAACGCCAGGAATCCCAATGGACCCACAAGATTTCATTGATTTGCATCCCAAAACTCCCAGGCATCCCAATGAAATCATGATAAGTTTGCGCATCACCGACGTCGCGAAGCCTGCCATTCCATTTGGATCCCTGGCATTCTGAGCCCTGGACCTCCTGGGGATCCCAAGGTTGGTTGTGCTCCAAGGTATGAAGTCCCAGGAGTCCCAGGAACCCGCATGAAATAGCATGGTTTCGTCAACTTGCATCCCAGGAATCGTAGGAATCGCAATGCAATCATTGGGTTTGCGCCACCGACGTCTCGAACCTGGTGATTTCATAAGGATTCCTGGGCTTTTGAGCCCTGGGCTTCCTGGGGATCCCAGGGTTGGCTTTGTTCCAGGGTATGAGATCCCAAGAATCCCAATGCAATCATAAGGTTTCGTTGATTGGCATCCCGGGAATCCCAAGAAACCAAATGAAACCATAGGGTTTGCGCATCACCGGCGTCTCGATCTTTATGATTTTACTGGGATTGCTGGGGTTCTGAGCCCTGGACTCTGAGCCTTGAACCTCCTGGGGATCCCAAGGCTGCTTCTGCTCCAGGGTATGAAATCCCATGAACCCAAGGAATCCTCATGAACTCGCAGTGTTTCGTTGATTAGCATCCCACAAATCCCAGGAATCAAAATGGAATCGCAAGGTTTGCAGATTTCTCGTCTACAAGATGGCTCACACGCTTGTTCCCCCTCTATGTAGAGAGGAAGCAGACGCTTGCATTTGTCACGTTGGCGCTTGTGGAAAGTTGTGCCGCTACAGGATGCAGGGGACAACTTCAGCGAACAAGAAGAAGAGGCGCGGAGAGGGAAGGGATACGGGAGGGGAGCGGCACGAGTCCAGCCTCGTGGAAAGGAAGAAAGCGTAGAATGTGTACTGGGGGATCCTAAATATCTATATATATATATATATATGTGTTATTCCGCCGTTATGCTCCATGGGCCCGCGCTGGACGGACGCACGCACACACACAAACAAACACTTTCTGTGTCTGGCGGCCACTACTACAATCGCTGAGAAGTCGTGTGCCACGAGGCGCACCTGCTCGGTGCTCAGCCGCTGGAAGGATCTGCTGCGATGGGCTGGCAAGCAACACAACCTTGCCTAGGACAAGAGCAGCAGCGCCCCTTCGCTGGTTGAGTAGAACTCCACGGACCCACTGTCCACGCTAAGTTATTGTCGACTGGACAGGTTGGATTGTATTTTGAGCGAGTTGTTGTGTAAAAAATGATGTAAGCCCTAGGAAGGTATTTTGTATGATTTAGGGGAATGAATAATGGCATACGATGAAAACTCTGAGGTCCGCGCGGGTTGCTCGGATCGGCGCTGGAGCCCCCTGGCGGCGCCTCCGGCGCCGCCCCTGGCGCGCTCCGCGCGCCAAGGAGGGGGGTCCAGCGCCGATCCGAGAAATCCGCGCGGAACTCCGAATGTTTATGTTTACAATGGGGACTCGGCCACAAGAAACCTCCACAAGAAACCCAACCCTGAAATCCACGATTTGTTCCGTGAAAGTCCACATGTGTCGATCGAACATCGTCGAGATCTGATTGGGAGCCCATCGAAATCCAAGAAACCCGGGGCACCCTGGTGAAGTCCAACTGGCTTCTTGGCACGCGCCCCCACTGTGTGCCATGGTCTGTTCTCCTACGACCTGCGCTGTCCGAGGAGGGCGAGGCGGGGGAGGGGGAGGGCGGACGGCTGCAGCGAGGCGCGCGCTTGCCAGGAGGAGGAGGAGGAGAAGGAGGAGGAGGAGAAGGAGGAGGAGGAGGAGGAGGAGGAGGATGGAGGAGAGAGAGGAAGGAGGAGGAGGAGGAGGAGGAGGAGGAGAGGAGGAGGGAGGAGGAAGGAGGAGGGAGGAGGGAGGAGGAGGAGAGGAGGAGGAGAAGGATGAGGAGGAGGAGGAGGATGGAGGATGGAGGAGGAGGAGAGGAGGAGGAGGAGGAGGAGGAGGAGGAGGAGGAGCTTGGTGGCGGCGCCCGGGTCCTGGCCCTCGGGCCACTCCCAGTCTCTCCACGCCTGCGCCGGCGCCCGGCGACCGAGGGAGAAACACTGCAGCGCGGCGGGCAGCGGCGCCGTCGTCCGTCGCGAGGCGTCCGCCCAAACAGCCTGCCGCCTAGCCTTCTCCTCCCTCCCCGCCTCCCCCCCCCCCTTCTCCCCATCGCCTCCCAGATCCGTAGCAGCCATGCTCCCCCCTCCCTTCTCTTCTCCCTCTCTCCTTCTCCATGCCTGTCTCTCTCTCTCTCTCTCTCTGTCTGTCTCTCTGTCTCTCATCTACTGGGAACCGAGTATCGGGGATGGACAGACCCCCCTTTAGTAAAACGTGGTTTAGTGAAAACGACCTGAGGCCCAAACCTGGCGGGCGCAAGCCTGGATAATAACGACCACGGCGCCATCTCGAGAACCGAAAACGGACAATTCACTAATCGACGTGTCACTGTTGGGGGTTCTGTCCACCCCCGAGAATAACCAATACAAACAATTCAGGATTTAAGGCCAACCCATCACGAACTAGACGGAAATAGTACCGCATGTATCGCGCCGTGGGCAAAGTGCGTGCCACGTCATGCGCGCTGTCAAGTCCCTCCTGGGCGCCAGCTTTCCAGGTGTTCTGTTACTGGTCATACTTTTGCCGCCGCTGACCCTCCTCCTCCTCCTCCACCTTCTCCTCCTCCTCCTGCTCCTCATTCGTTGATTTTCCTCCTCGTGTTCCTCCGACTCCTCCTCCTCCTCCTCCTCTTCCTCTCCCTCCTCCTCCTCCTCCTCCTCCTCATTCGTTGATATTCCTCCTCGTGTTCCTCCGACTCCTCCTCCTCCTTCTCCTCCTTCTATTTATGTTCCTGCCTCTCCTGCCTCTGCGGGCGAGTCGCAACCGTGTATCGCAATTGGTTCCCTCAGGTGTTCACGCGGTGTCCGCGTTGCTCCCTGGCGTCCCGTGGCGGTGCCCAACGGGGTGTCTAATGTTCTCTCCTTCGCGGTTTCAGCCAAACGAAACACGAGCCAGCGCCGACATAGCGCTGAGTCTGAGGCCAAAGCCGAGTCAACCAGGCTCACGCGAGGGCGCAGGATAGCGCTACATCTGCAAGCTTACGATGCCGTCCAGATCTGCACACCGGGGAGACGCAGGCAGCATCGGAGACGTGACCACGCACATGGGCAAGCATCCCCAGCTCCGCGGCGAGCGAGGGGGGGGGAAGTGAGGAGGAGGAGGAGGCCTCCTCGGAAGGCGGCGGGACTTCTCAGAGGCGCTCCGGCCTTCTAGGAGAAGGCTTTTCTGTGCGAGGCGGGGACTTAGCCACATCCACCGCCAGGGAGCCGACGTCCTGGTGCCCCAGCGGGCGGTGGATATGCATGTATACATATTATATATATATATGTATATATATATATGTATATGTAGATGTGTGTATGTGTGTATATATATATATATATATATATATTTGGCTTTCGGCCCCCGGGGGTCCGAATGTGTCCAGATCCGCCGCCTGCCGCGGCTCCGAGAGCGGAGCCTCCAGGAGGTGGATCTGGACAGAAATGCCCGCCTCGGAGATGCTGCGTCTTCGGGGACGGCCTAGTTCGAGCATTCCTCGGAAGGCTGGGGGGGGGGGCGTCCAGGCATCCCGAGAGAAGGCTCCCTCCTTCTCGCGTCGTCCTCCTCCTCCTC